CAGAACAGAGCCTAAGCCTGAGTATCTCAGTAGGCAAACAGGTTCCTATCAGGAAGTCTGATTTTCTTATTAAGACACAACATACCACCCCATACTCACAATAAAGACAGGTTTAGATGACTCACCCAGATAATCTTTTCGGTTTGCTCTCACATTCACCAAGTCTTCTATACTGTCCACTGCCTTTTTGGGAGAACCACCCATATTAGATTTGCCTAGGACGACAACCAAATTATTTAGCCAGAGGAACAAAAAACACACAGACAGCATTGGCCAAGCTGTGTCCCAAGATATATCAGCAATCCACAAGGAAAAAAATAGTTAAAAGCTACTTAAATGATAGAGGTATGTTCAGCGAATGACAAAGGTAGGAAAAGTTATTTTTGAAGACTGCAAACACTCCGAGAGCCATTCTGGCTGGAGAACTGTAGGAGCTGTCTCTAAAAAAGTAACTTTTCTAGCATTGCAGAGGATGAGACCATGATATTCATTCATAGATAGAACTCTTCTATTTGTTGTGTTCGTATTCCATCAGTAACTTTAGCTGCCCTTTTACCTTGGATGTCTAAACTGTGTTTCTAAATGTTTTTAAATTACCACAATGCTAGAAATTTGGGCGATGAAGGAACATTTTATTTGAGGAGACAGAATTCTTCTCTCAGCCTCAGAGGAAGGCAATGGCAAACCTCCTCTGAAGAAATAGGGTTATCATAAGTCACAGTCGACTTGGAGGCATATGACAACAACAAATAATTTACAGATGTTCAAAGCTCGTCTCAACTTGGAAATGGCCAGGCATCAGCCGAAAACATAAAAATAAGTGGGAAGATCTTGGATAATCATTTTGCATCAATTGGGAGAATGAGCCCAGAAAAATAGCCTACCCACTTCTGCTGCTTCTTCTCCTATCCATGAGAGCTAGCTTGGTCCACACTCCTCACTATGCTCCCTCCATTCTCTTGAAGGTGGGTGACAGTAACAGCATCAAAGGATGTACCCACACGGCAGAAATAAAGCAGTTTGACACCACTTTAACTGTCATGGCTCTATCTTGTGGAATCATGGGATTTGTAGTTTGGTAAAGTATTCAGCCTGGTCTGTCAGAGAGCTCAGGTGCCTTACCAAACTACAAATCCCAGGATTCCACAGGGTGGAGCCATGACAAATAAAATGCTGTCAAACTGGATTATTTCTGCAGTGTGGATGCACCCAAAGACACGAGGGATTTTGTCTTTCTTCCTCCTTCCTGTACTGAGACAAAGATCAGGAGGCGTGGGACTATGGGAGATGCTGTTATCCCAAAGGTTCTTGCAATTGTAGGATCCCCTGGGAAAACAACAACTCATGCCTTTACATCACTTTGATACTTGGGCTAAGTGTACTCAGGGCAGTAAGGAACCAAGGGAAATGAAAGAAGTTTCCTCAAGACTTCCTGCATTGGAGGCGGGAGGGAGGAAGCCTACCTCTTCTCTAGTCGCTTGCATTCAACACCGATTCTGTTACTGTTTTAAGTTAAGGAAAGATAAGGAGGGTACCACTTATGGTGTGGGAGAGGGAGCAGGAATTGTTTTTAGTTATGATAGAGTGTTAGGACGTTATCACACGGGGAGTCATGGGGAGAAAGGGGAAATGAACTGGACGAGCGGAAGACTTTAATTTACGGGATTTGTCCTGTTCCGCCTCATCTGATAACTAAATTCGAATTTAAAAGGGGGTTAATTCGAACAAAAACCTGATCTTTTCATTTCCTCAAAAATCCCGAAAATGAAAAGATCAGGTTTTCGTTCAAATTAACCCCCTTTTAAATTCAAATTTAGTTATCAGATGAGGCAGAACGGGACAAATCCCGTAAATTAAAGTCTTCCACTCGTCTGGTTTATTTCCACTTTCTCCCCGCGACTCCCCATGTGATAACGTCCTTAGAGATAGGTACAGTTCCTTGTTCTTTTCCTAGCCAGAAACATTTCTCACCATTGGGGGCTTATTGGGGCTGAATCTGGAAATTTCTAATAATAATAATAATAATAATAATAATAACCCCGCCTCTCCCTGAAGGATCGAGGTGGATAACAATCATAAAAATACAACAATACAGCTATAAAACAACATGATAAAATAGCATGATCCCCTTACTCCCAATTAAAACTAACTTCTTCATGTAGAGGAGTATGCAAGCTATAGGATTCCGGATGTTGGAGTCCAAAAAGTTAACTTTTCCAAGCTCTATCCACCACAGAACTAGGATCCCTTGCTTTTGCTCACATACAAGTACCCATATGCTCTTTGTACACCTTATTATGCCTTCTAACTATCTGCTGGCTAAGGAGGCACACTCTTATTGCCTTTTGCCTAATTGTTAGTTGCTCTTCAATGGACCCCAACTCATTGTGACCCTGTGGATAAGACATCTCTGAAAATCCCTGTCCTCCACTGCTCTGTTTAAGTCTTGTAGATTCAAGCCTGTGACCTCCCAATTCGAGTCTATCCATCTGGCATGTGGTCTTCCTCTCTTTTTTGGTACCCTCCACCTTTCCTAGCATCATTGTATTTTCCAGTGAGTCCTGCCTTCTCATGATGCAACCAAAGTATGACCAACTCAGTTTCATCATCTTGGCTTCCAGGGGGAGTCCAGGCTTAATCTGTTCAAGGACCCATTTCTTTGTCTTTTTGGCCATCCACAGTATCTCAAAGGAGTTGATTTTCTTATGTGCTTTCTTCCCAGTCCAGCTTTGGTATCCGTACATGGTGATAGGGAGTACAGTTGCCTCTCAATTTTCGCGGGAGGATCCATTCTGGACCCCTTTGCAAAAATGAAAACTCATGCATATTCAAGCCCCATAGGCTTGAATGGAGGTGTGGGGGTGCAGGGAGGTGCTGCCGGCGCCCCCCCCCCCATTGTATGCCCCTCCATTTGTCCCTGACGCATAAGCGAGGGATGCGGATCCGAAGTCCGCGAAAATGGAGGGGTGACTGTACAGTGGCTTAGACTATCCTCACTTTGGTGCTCAATTGTATATCTTTACTAGGAATCACCACAATTCAACTGCCAACATCGATACCATTTGTTGATCTAGTACCACACCAAGTTGGTAGGCAGAGCAATTCAACTCTTTGTCTTGAGTGGGATCTACCCACCCAAAGGTTTTTGACCTCTCCATTTCTACTTGAAGGCATGCAACAACAACAATGCCTCCTCACCATCTGTGAGCAGAATGATAGCATGACGAACTTTGTTCCACTGTTCTAGTACATTTGCTTGGTCATTGATCATCATCAGGTAGATGGCATTAAGAGCTGCATAAATGTTGGTCCCTGTTGCATTGCCATGGTCTGTGGAAGGAAACACATTGCTGTTAAGTTTTATTGGCTTCTATCTTCCCTGCTCCCACTAAAGGACACAGAGGTATATGAATCTAGGGGTGCATCTACACTGTGGAAATAGTGCAGTTTGACATTACTTTAAGTGCTGTAGATCCAGCCTATGGAAATCTGGGATCTGTAGTTTTATCAAGGTATTTAGCTGTCAGATCCATATGCATGGTTCTGTCATAATGGTATGATGTGATGATGACATGATGATATATTGATATAGTGTTATGATAATATACTGGTTTATTGAGAGGGGGAATATTACTCATATGGGAAATCAAGCTGGGGAAACAATGGGAGGGGGCGAGAGAGATTAGTGGGTTTATGACCCTGTTTTTCCTGCAAACAGATCAGGGCTGTAAACAAGGGATGCTCTCCTTAAGTGTGATTGAATGATAATACAGGAAAGGAAACATGAAAGGTCACTTTGATCTGGATAAAAGGCCTGGGTTTCTTGTGGCTTTTTCGGGCTGTGTGGCCATGTTCTAGAAGAGTTTCTTTCTGATGTTTCGCCAGCATCTGTGGCTGACAACTTCAGAGATTACTGGAATGGAAGAGAGTGGGTCTATATATACTGTGAGACCCTGGGTAGGGAGGAGTGATTCTCATGTAAACTGTGTATTGTTCTATGTAGAATAGGTATTGTTTTGTTGTTAATGGCATGGCTTCAGGGTGGGACGGTATGCAATCAAGGATAATGTTTGCTATTCCCATGTAAACTGTGTATTGTTCTGGGATTGCAGCCAGAGAGGAGACTGGATGATGGGAACTCTTAAGTTATGGTCCAGCGGGAAAGTTTCAGTTCTGACACAAACCCTGGACTTCTGTCTCAATTTCTGGAATAAAATCTTTTGTTTTAATCATACTAAGATGTTTTCTTGGTTATTGGGAACTGAGTCCACTGATCCTGACATTAGCCTTCTTTGCCATAGTGTGCTAGTGTCTCACAAAACTGCCAATCCCAGGGTTCTGTGGAGCCATGGCATTTAAAAGTATTATCAAACTGCAGCATTTCTACCATGCAGATGTACCCTAGGCATAGAATTAAATATAAATTAGATTAAGAATGGAAAACAATGACAGAATTAACAAAGCTGCAAGATAAAAATGCAATAAAAATAGTGCTCTTCTCCCAAAGCCAGTCTTGTCACTTGGCTTCACATGTGTGTGTGTGTTATGTGCATGTGTGTAAAAAAGACAGAAGGAGGGAGGGAGAATGGGGGGCTATGCCATTTGACCCTATTTCCAGTCTTCACATGTACAGTGGGATATGAATCTCTATACCAAAAGTGAGCATTTTGGAAGATCCAGGAGCCAGTTTTGATCTCCCACCTCCCACTAAGGAGATACCTCTGCAGCCCCACTAAAAATGTGGGATTTACTGCCTTAAAAAAAAACCCAAATAAATCAGATCTGCCTGGGAATTTACTTTCAGTTTTGAAAACATTGAAAACAGCTTGGAAAAGGTCCCACATAATAAAGCACTTTGCTTCAGAAAAGAATTTCCACTCCTGGAAATTTTCAGATGTTGCAATTCTGCTATTTTAAGCACTCTCCTTCCCAAAATGCATTCTTCTTTAACACAGAGAGTGGGAGTGGTGTTGTAAAAACTGCAAAAAGTGGGTCTGTGAGCCTGCAAGGTGTAGTGGTTTGAGCACTGGTCTACAATTCTGGAGACCAAGGTTCAATTCCTGGCTCGGCCATGGAAACCTACTAGGTGACCTTGGGCAAGTCACATGCTCTCAACCCTCAGAAGAAGAGAATGGCAAACCTCTGAACAAATCTTGCCAAGAAAACCTCGTGATAGGGTGGCCATAAGTCAGAAATGACTTGAAGGCACACAACAACAACAACAAATGCAGTTTATGTTGCCCATCGTGGCTCTATACAAGTGGGGTCTATATAATCATTCCAGAATTTCTGCAGATTATTTATTGTTGTTGTTTTGTGCCTTCAAGTCATTTTCAACTTATGGTGCCCCTAAGGCAAATCTATCATGGGGGTTTCAGAGGTGAAAAACAGGGTGAGAGATGCAGGGAAGGGAAAATCTGGGAGGGACATCACTTGGGATGAAATCCTGTAATACCAGAATTCTCCTTTCCATCTCCAAACTCAGAATATTACAAGAAAACCAAAACACTCACTGGGCCCTAAATTTCAAAATAAATTTAGACCATACGAGTAGAAATCTGAGAATATTCACACTACCTTTGTAATTCATTTCCTTCTGTATCTTCTCAAGAACCAGTTCTGGATCTTCTGCTATATCTTCATGGATGTCAACAATGGTCTTTGGCTGGCTGGCATACGAGAGGATGGAAAACTTGATGGGTACATCAAAGCTGGCAACCTGGGAAGAGAAAGATGGTAGCCAAAGAAGGAGAGTACAAGAACAGGGACAGGAAGCAACAAATTAAAGCAATGCAGTTACCTACAACAATTTGCTTTGTTGTGTAAAGATGGCAGGATGATGTTAAATTCCAAAAGTAACACAATTTTGACATAAATTAATCAAGATTTATGCCTGCCTCTCTTAATTCACACTATCTGAACGAAGAATGAACAGCATACACATTGCCAGGATACAAAGAAGAGGTACAATAGGTGAATTGCAAAATTTAATCCTTCAGGTTATTACATACCATGCTTTAAGGACAATCTTCCCCAACCTGGCACTTTTGTGTTATACTAAAAATCCCACCATCCTC